TCTAGACCTGGCAAGAGATTTTTTTTCTGAAGGAGAGGGGCTCATCTTTGGGTTTTTCAGGCTGAGTTTGCATGAACAAGGGGCTGGGGTGCACAGACACAGCCCTTTGTGCAGGAAGGATGTTTGGGTATCACACGGCCATCTCTTTACAGGAGACTAGATGGCCACTAGGGCCTCGTGCCCTGAGGGCCTCATTAGAGACAAGCCAATAGTCACTCTCTCCTCTCCTCTGTGGGCTTGTTTTTGGATCCAACACTAATAATAAAGACCTGTCATCAGAGTTATATAATTGCTGTTTCAGGACTTGGCAACACTGGAAATGATGCAATCTTGGGGATCGTCAGTAGCCGCAACCCTTCTGCAAGAGAAACTCCCACTTCTATATTTTAGCCCCCACCTAGCCTTGCTGGGAAATACACATGAAGCTGGATAAGGGTTAAACCTTGGATCACCTAGATCAGTACTGAATTCCAGACCCACATCATCAGTTGTATGACCTTGAGAAAGCTACCAATCTTCAGAGAATTACAAATTTTCACTCTCTGTAGAAAGGAGAAATAATAATCACTTTGTAGAATTGTGAGATTAAATGAGGTAATTTATGTTAATCACCCATGACCTCTAACTTCATCAATGCACTAGGCTAGGACCATGTCCACTAGGTGGAGGTTAAAGGTATTTGTGATATTTATACCCTTTGTTTTCTGCTTAATCACCTGTGTTTTGGATAAATAACATTTGGAAATAGTGTCACATATTTATCTTCATATGTCAATAGTTATTTTTACAATGGGTCAGTGGAAAAATCTTTCATTCTATATTTTAATTTGGGAGTAAATGAGGTAGAAATAGGAAACATTGTTGAGTTCATTTATAAATTGGTAGAACATGAATGTTAATGTGGAACAGAGAATTCCTGAGTCCAATATATAGTGCTCTATTTGTTCTGAGGGCAAGATCTGGCTTTAAGATGCCCAACAAAGCCTTTAATCTTATGCAAGTTCATCTTGAGTGACACCTACTATGACCTACTGTGACCTCCTACTATTAACTTCCTGTATCTGGAAGACATAGCAGAGGAGGTTCCTTTAAAAATTTCCTGTCTTAATAGATATTAATGTCTTCACTGCTGTATTCTTACCCGGGGGAGGTTGGTGCTTATTGCCATCAAGTGTTCTTCACGTCTGGATAAGTGGTCATCAGTGCTTCTATCCATTGTGAGGGCTAGAATATCTTGGAAACACAGGCAGGTACTGTGAGTGAGGAGCAGGGGTTCATGGTCCTATTCCCCTGTGCAGGAAAAATACTTGGGGCAATCATGGAGCAGGTGTTTGTAAGAACTTCACAGCCATTGGGACCAAATTCCCGAAGAGCCTCATTAGAGAGAAGAACAAGGACTTAATAACTGAATCTCTCCATCTACAGGCACAGGCCCAGATCAGCCAGGTCCCAGGTTTGAGGTCCCAGGGACTTTTGTCTGGGATTTATCGCCATAGTGCTGGCTTCATTTCTAATATCTTCAAGTTTTGACCCAAGAGTGACATCTAAACCTTAGACAATACTTTTTACCATTATTGTTTGGTACAAAGGGGTCAAATAGTAGGCAAGACAGTTAATAAGTATGCAGTGCCATTGTGTCTTTAAAAAAATGTACATACCTTACTTTATTAAAAAAATTTATACATTTATTAATTTTTGGCTGTGCTTCATTGCTGTGTGGGCTTTTTTTCTAGTTGGAGCAAGTGGGGGCCACTCTCCAGTTGCGGTGTGCAGCTTCTCTGCGGCGTCGTCTCTTGTTGCAGAGCATGCGCTCTAGAGCAGAGGCGCAGTAGTCGCGGAACACAAGCTTAGTCGCTCCGCAGCATGTGGGATCTTCCCAGCCCAGGGATCAAACTGTGTCTCCTTCATTGGCAGGCAGATTCTTTACCACTGAACCACCAGGGAAGCTCCATACCTTACTTTAAAATACTTTTTTTTTTTTTTTTTGCCCAAGAAGTGCTAACCATTATCTGAGTCTTCAGAGAGTCAGAATCTTTTGCAGTAGTAACATCAAAGATTACTGATTATATGTCACTATAAAACCATCATAATAATGAAAAAGTTTCACATATTGCAAGAATTACCAAAGTAGGACAGAGACACAAAGGGAGCACATGTTTGTGGGGAGATGGCAGTTTGACACAGAGTTGCCACCAACTTTCAATTTGTAAAAAAAAAAAAAGTGCAGTAACTATGTGGCGCAACAGAATGAAGCATGCCTGTGTTACTCCCAGCAGGAGCCGGAGCCAAAGTACCTGCATTTTTTTTTTATTCTAATAAAACTTTATTTTTTCAAACACAGCCACAGAGGCAGGACATCATGTTTAACACACAGAGACTTATGAATTTCTTTTAAATATAAAACAAAGTTTATGAAAATTTTTTTCCACTTTTTATATTTGTAATCCCATTAGCACAGGGACTTTGGCAGCTGGTGGGAGTGAAGGGCAGCTGGAGCTGCCAGTGGGCATCACCGGGCACAGGAGGAGAGCAGCAGCCTGGGAGTGGCTTCACTCACACACGCAGGAATACTCACCTACTGATCAGCCACACCACACACACAACACAGATGCAGATGTCTACCCAGGGTCAACCACTGCGGAGGTGTCTTCCACTCTGGGTAAGCCCAATATGTGAAAATCCAAATTGTCAAAACAGCTGAAGTAGAGGGAGGTTGCTTGCTTTACAAAAGAAGCAATCACAGGCTGCTTTTAAATGGTCAGCAGTCCAAATGCTTTGAAAAATAGCATTTGGTTTATACAGAACTGTTGGAACAGATCTACTGTGTAAAGCAAAATAAACCACTTCTTGAAAAGGCTTGTCCAAGGACCACAGGTACTTAGATTAGGAAGCAAAACAATAGCTCCAGCTAGTTTAACTTTCCAGATCTTAAAGTAATGGAATTCAAATATGGCATCTATAGACCTTCTCCCTTAGGGATGGTGCCCTAGGGCTTTGAGGAAGCCAGAGTGGAGGTAGAAATTATTGCCCTCACTTCTTCAGCTTTGGGCCTGCAGAGAGCCTCCTGACATTACCAGTGGCCTATTGTAAGCTGGCACAATCTGCAGCAGAAAGCCCAGGGATGAGGATGCCCCAGGAGGAAAAGAAGCTGGCACCAGGGAAATTATGGCCTAAATAGGGAGAACAGCCAAGGGAGGGATAAAACCAAGGAGGGGCAAGTCCTGGGCTCACAGTTTCCTTGGATTCTCCAGAGAACCTCTCTTAGGCCCCTACAGACCTGGTAGCTCACTGGTAACTCGTGCTAACTAGCAGGTGAAGGGAAGGAGTCCTGGAGGGTTAGAACCTCTAAAGGCAGGAGGCTGAAGAAGACATAGCCATCTCCTCGGGAGTGGAGGCAAGGATGCTAGGGCCTCACTGGTGCTCCTATCCAACATGTGGGAGACCCAGAAAACCATAGATTCAATTCCATAAGGAAGAAAACATGCAGGTCCTCTTCCCTAACATGAGCAGTTGGTTCCTACAAAACACTGGGAAAATGCCCTTCTTCCAATAAACAGGAAGGGCAGGTCCAATTTGGTCCTGCAGGGTCTAAGCAAAGCTGGACAAAGCCTCAAAAGCCATTATGGCGGCAGCTTCAGTATGTATCTCCCCTGGAGCCAGCTCTATAGAGCTTCTGAAATCCTTAAACCCATCAGTGTGGCCACTGAGACCTGTTGCCTGGGCCCAAGTTGTGGGTGTGAAACAATAAAAGAAATTCAATCCAGCAACAGCAAACTCCCAGCTGCTTCTCACAGTCTGCTTTACACATCTTCAGCCAATCCCTCAGTGAGCTTCAACCTCTCTGAGGTCTCTAAGGGCCAATTAGAGGCAAAAAACATTTCCTGGCAGGAGTGGAAGACAAGCAAACTAGTAAATGCTGACATCCCCTTCCTCTTTCTCAACCAACTCAGAAAAAATGGCTAGGCCTGGATCTGATAACGAGTTTCTCTACAGTCTGCTTCTAAAGGGCAGTGCTGGGGTGCACTCACCTATGCCTGCTGGGGACTGAACACTACTTCTGCTGCAGGTCAGCCTCCATACAGGGGCTTCCTTCCTTCTTCTTGACCCTCAAAGGGCAGAAAGTAAGAGGGAAAAGAGGTCCCATCAGCAGGGAGGGAAAGAAAGAGATGGAGCCCTTCAGCCCTGCCTTAATTGCCCACATGTGCTTGCATCTACTTAGTGAAAGAGACAGGCAAGTTGTATCCAGCCTTGGCAATCTGATGAGAAAAAAAAAAAAGCCAACTCAGAATCAATATGCAGCACTCTCTCCAGCCAATACTAGATCTATCTGGAGGAGGTGTGGGCCTGAGGAAAAGACCATTAGTTGAGGACCCCCAAATAGAATCCTTTGCAGAGCCACTGTTGCTAACAGATTACAAGCTTGCTTCCAGAGCTCCTTAGAACCCCGACTCCTAGAACAAGCCTGCTGTCCCGTGAAAACCCAAGATCCTGGGAGTACTGTGGCGCTCTGCTGTTAGGCAGCAACTGCCTTCCTTCCCTAAGGCTCCCCAAACACACCTTTCCTCGAGCACTCTCATGCACTCACACACTCTCACACAATTTCTCCAAGGAGGCTGAATGAACCCCCCCACCCTGGCCAAATTCTAAGACACAAGTGCCCTTTGAAGCAAAGGGCTAGTGAAATTCCCCGAGCTGGGGTTGGCAGACCCCTTCTGTCCCTGCCCGTTGCTTTCTCGGTGGCAGGGATACTCGCACTCAGGGGTGTCATGGGAAGGGTCTGCCCTGGGGCTGTCCCTCCTGCCACCAGCTCCGTTTATCTTGTCCCAGCCAGTCTCTTGTCATGGTCAAGCTTCCTGGAGCGAGAAGATTTCTGGCTGCCCTGAGTCAGAGCCCTCCATTCACCCCCATTCCCAGGCTGGGCCCCTGGCCTTGGGACCTCGACACTTGTTAGTATCCGTAAGAGAATCAGTCTGTGTAGCCCCAGGAAGTAGCCTCTCAGTTTTAGTTCTCCTCAATCAGATTCAAGTCCAGGTCCCCAAAGTCCTGCTGGCATAGTGTCCGCTTGCTCAGCGCCTGCCGCCCCCACCGCACGGCCCCCTCCTCTTCCTCTTCGTTTTCACTCAGCACCTGGGAGGAACCCCCGATGGGGCTGCAGGAAGCAGAGAGGGGTAGGGGGCTGCAGGCCATGAACCATGGTGGAGAGATACTGCTGCCTTCCCGGGCTGTTTCTTGGAGACAGAGACCTCCTGAGTATGGTTTCTGATTCATCTTGTTGAAGTCCAAGGAAGGCCGCAGCCGCCGAGGGTCCTCCTCGTGGCGCCGCTCGACCCTAGCTTTGCAGGCATCAAGATCACAAGGCTGTGAGCGGCTTCGGGGAAGACTGCGCAAGCCTCGAGGTCGCCAGGGCAGCTCTGGGAAGGATGCAGGCGAGCTCCGGGCAGAGGGCAAGAAGTGGCTTGCCTGTGGGCCCAAGCTGGGTGACAGGGAGAAGCGGCGTTGGGGTGGGCAAGGTGACAGGGACTCAGCATCACTCTCCCAGGAGCCACTTTGCAGGGAGGCAGCAGAGGGATGAGAGGAATCTTGGGCTAGGGCCAGGCTGAAGAAAGGGGGGCTGTAGGGTCTGTGGGCTGGGGCACATTGAGAAGAGGCACTGGGAGCTTGGAGGAACCTGAGGCTGGAGACCCACTTCGGGGGGCTCTGGTGAGGCACCTGCGGCCCGCCCCCTCCACCACTGCCCCGGTGCTTGATGGGAGTCCACAGCTTGGAGGGGGCGGGCCGCCACACTGGCTGCCAGCGAGACAGGTCCACGGGCTCTGAGAGTGAGCGGCAGTGCCTCTCAGATGGAGGGGCAGGGGGCACGGGAAGCTTTTCTGGGCCTGGGGACTCAGGGCTTAGGACTTGGGAGAGGGACTGCTCCTGTGGGGAACTTCCTTGGCTGGGTGGTCTGAGGTGCAGGCTCAAGCCTGAGGGGTGGCAGCTGAGGTTGTGAGGCTATCCTGGAACTCGGCTCAGGAACGGTGGGGCAGGCCCCTCCAGGAAGCACCTTCAGACACAAGCTGAAGAGGGTTCCCACAGTCGGAGATGTCTGCATGATCAGGCCAAGGCAGACTGATGCTGAAGCGTGTGCATTTCAGCTCATCCAGAGTCTGCTTCTGTAGCTGCTCAGTGATCAGGGTTCTCATGATTCTCCCCAGGATTTGACTCGCACACTTTGGAGCAAATGATGGATGTCTTCCCTGTTGTTCTTCCAGACCTCACTCGCGAGCCATCTTCTGCCACTGCAGCGCCATTCTAGCACCGTTAGGACTTCCCTCTCCAATCATGCCTGCTGAGTCGCGGCTCCTCCAGTTCCCAGGGCCGCGGCCGGAGCAGCTCTCCAGAGTACCTGCATTTACACCAGTTCCTAAGCCCTGATTCTCACAGAATGATGTGAATAAGGACAAATAGCACCTGCATACACAATGGATGTGTTACAGGAGAGGATTCCTCAAGTTTAAGAAATCAGATCTTGTCATTGGGAATAAGCCTGGTTGAACTTTGCCCCAGAAGAATACATTTATTACCGTGGATGGTGAAAAATCTGCCCTTTGCTCTGGAAAGACACACCGTTTCTATCTTCCAGTGCTGTTCATTATAGAAACGTCCTTGAAGAAATGGTCTAGAACAAAAAGAAGTGAATGTCTCTGGTCACAAAATGTGCAGAAAAGCAATAAACACATGGAGAACTGTGTCTTACACAGCATGTATTAATTTTATACTCATGTTTCTTTTTAATAAATTTATTTATTTATTTTTCACTGAACTGGGTCTTCCCTTGCTGCACGGGGACTTTCTCTAGCTGTGGAGAGCGGGAGCTACTCCCTAGTTGCGAGGCTTCTCATTGCTATGACTTCTTTTGTTTCAGAGTCTGGGCTCCAGAGTGCAGGCATCAGGGGTTGTGGCAACAGGCTTAGTTGCCCCACGGAAGGTGTGGAATCTTCCTGGACCAGGGATGGAACCCATGTCCCCTGCATTGGCAGGTGGATTTTTAACCACTGGATTACCAGGGAAGTCTGTTTCCTTTATTTTTAACAGTGAATGGGAGATGGAGACATTCAGCATTGACTATTCTTTCTAAGTAGAGAATTATATTCTAATTTTCTCTAGTGTATTAGAAGCTTAAAAAAAAAGATACTGACACAGGGAAAGAACCCTTCATCAAGTCAACTATTTTAGAAAGTCTGAAAGAATGAACCAACACAAGCTGAAAGGAAGTAGAGATGTGATTTTAATATTAACTAAAGCCTGCTTTAAGATGAAAAAAGGATTAAAGAGAATAAAGATCTTTCAGTTACTAACAGATACAAACTATGATGAATGTACAACATTCATGAAGTTCCATGCCCTCCATAACCCAGCATCAAATCAAAAGGTAAAATCCATTAACGTACAGAGAGAAAATAGTTGAAATGTTTATTACTTTATAGATCAATCAACATCCAAATATTATAGAGAAAATAGTTAAAATGTTCATTACTTTACAAATCAATCAATATCCAAATATTATCATCTTCATATACACTTATTTGAATCCTGTTTCACAGATACAGCTATGATGTAGAAGAAACCTGATTGAAGTCCATTCCACATAAAAAAGACTCCAAGGATCCAGCAGGAATCTCAAAGGTAGAAGGGTAAATCTGAGCTGGGAGTTCACGGGCAGAGCTGGTTTGACACAGTGGAGCTGGGAGCCACCATGTATGGAGCCACCATGGAGCAGAGTCAGAATTTTATGGAGGATGAAATAAACTTGACCTCCCATAGCTGTGACCCAAGGCCAGAGGTGGACCCCCAAAGGGAAGTGAGTCACGAGCATCAATGCTGCAGCAAAACAGGCCTCCAGGAGATCAAACAAGATCAAGGTTCAGTAGCTACACTGGATTCTAGCATCTCACACAATCATTGCCTTGGGCGGGTCCAACTTCCAGTTCTCTCTCTCCACCTGGCAGCAGAAAGCAAGACTGACTGACTCCTTTGAGTGAATTTCTGAGATGCTCTGACACCAAGAGAGAGGTACTGGACTTCCTGATAGTTTTATCAGGTGGGGTGGGGCAGAAATAATGAAGAAATAAAGGAATGATGGCCTTAATTTTTACTCCAAGCTGGGGCAATAGGTATGTATGCTAACTGACACTAAGGAACACAAAGATTTCTACACCAGGAAGTGTACATATGTGTTATTTATAGCACAGAGACATTTTAAGTTGTCCAGAGTCAAGGAATAAATAAATTGCATCCACGAGTGGATAAAATATTATATGGCCATTCAAATCAAATTTCTAAGACTTTTACTAACATGGGAAGAAGGTGGAAAATGAGAATACAAATGGGAAAAGTTCGGCCAACTTTTCTAAAGCTACATTTATGTGTAATACTGAAGTTATCTTGGAGAAGCAAATTTACAAGTTATTTTGATCTTCTTCTTAGTGATTTTTTTATGTTCCATAGTATGTAGGTATTACCTGTCAAGTAACAAAAGTGATTTTTAAATGGGGAAAATTTTAAACTCCTTCTCAAGCAAGAATGTTCAAATTAAAAGTTAAGGCAAGGATTTCCCTGGTGATCTAGGGGTAAAGAACTTGCCTTCCAATGTGGGAGATGCGTGTTCCATCCCTGGTTGGGGACCTAAGATGGTATATGCCTCTGGGTAACGCAGCCCCTTCACTGCAACAAAGACCCCATGCAGCCAAAAAAGATAAAAGTTTAGGCGACATTCATTCATCCTTTTTTTTTTTTCTTTCAGCTAGATCTGAGTATTGCCTTTGGTCTAAGAGCAGTGCCAGACACTGGGGAATAGGGTGAATAGCATGTGAATTTGGGTATGGACTGTCTCATAATATGTAGGAAATCCTTGTGGAGGAGAAGAATAAACCAAAGAAAAAACAGCTCGAGAATCAGAAGGGCTCGTGGAGGACGAGGTGGCACTTGACTTGGTTTGAAGGTGTGGCAGAGGGTTGCTAGCCAGGGAGGAAAGCAGCGGGCGTGGATCCCAGCAGAAGGAAGAGCACGTGTTGATTTGGAGTCCTGGTATCAAAAATTGCCCGGATGACCCCGCCCCCTAAGGCCAGACAGCCAATCGGGATGCTCACAGGGGGTTTCCGCATTCTGCGCCTCTTCGCCTGTCCATGCTCTGAACCAAAAGTCCACCTGAGCCTCTGAGTCTCACCTGAAATAATACTATCGACTTTGGTCCTCATATTTCACTCGGTTGCTTCTTTATCTGCTTCTCATAACTACTCTTGTGAGCGTTTTCGTGACCCAATCTTTATGACTCGCCATGACAGAGAGCATATAAGATGATGGAGACCAGTGATTCTTCATCCTGACTGCACAGTGGAATCGCGAGAGTTCCAAATTCTCAGTGTTGGGGCCCCACTTCCAGAGATTTTGATCTATTTCATGTCTGTGCTGGGACCTGGACATCAGTGAGCCGTAACATCCAGGTGTCTTTAATATTCAAAAATATGTGGAACATGTATCTTTCTAAACATACCACTTAAAAATAAAAAATTGGATGTGTCTGTAAAATAATTCAAAAGTTAGTCATTAAACAAACCATGTCTTTACTTGGTAGATGCAGCAGGGTTATGGGTGAATTAGGTCAACAAATAAGTAATGATTGTCTTCTACATGCCCCTAGCACAGACATAAAAATGTTTCCTTCCAGACTGCCCTTGGCAAAACGGCTCAACAGATACTTAGTTGATAAGAAAATAAATCTGCCTGGGAAGGAGGCTCAGTTTTGATTCTCTCCTGAGACAGAAAACATTTTCCTGCCAACCACTTTTCCAAGAGCCCTTTTCAAGTCCCTGTTCCTCAGGCTGTAGATGAAAGGATTCAGCATGGGAGTCACCACTGTGTACATCACAGTAGCTGCAGTGTCCTTCTCTGATGAGTGGGAGGATGAAGGGTTGAAATACACAGCAATGATGGTGCCATAGAAGAGGGAAACCACAGCCAGGTGGGAGCCACAAGTGGAGAAGGCTTTCCATCTCCCCTTTGGGGATGGGATCCTCAGGACAGCGCAGGCGATAAGGACATATGAAGCCAGGATGCAAACGAACGGGGTGATCATGATCAGGGCACCCTCAGTCAGAATCATCACCTCATTGAGGTGTGTGTCAGAGCAGGAGAGTTTGAGGAGGGGAGTCACATCACAGAAGAAGTGGGGGATGGCATTGTCTGCACAGAAGGAGAGTCGAGCCATCAGCAGGGTGTGTAACAGGACATTCAAGTTGGCGATGATCCACGACCCAGTGACCAGTAGGGCACAGAGCTGGGGGGTCATCTTTGCTGAATAGTGTAAGGGGTGGCATACAGCCACAAAGCGGTCATAGGCCATCACAGCCAGGAGGAAATTGTCTATGTCCACGAACATGAAAACAAAGTACATCTGTGTGAGACACCCAGAGAAAGAGATGGTCTGGCTCCCAAGTATGTGGTTGGCCAGCACCTTGGGGACAGTGGTGGAGGAGAAGCAGGTGTCCACAAAGGCCAGGTTGCAGAGGAAGAAGTACATGGGGATGTGCAGGCGGGAGTCCACGCTGATGGCCAGGAGGATGAGCAGGTTTCCCAGGACCGTGGCCAGGTACATGGTGAGGAAGAGCAGGAAGAGGAGCTGCTGCTGCTGGGGCTGCCTGGAGAGCCCCAGGAGGAGGAACTCAGAGACTCTCGACTGGTTTGCCCCTCTTATAGGCTGAATCTGGGTGAACAGAGAACAGCGAAATCAGAAACCCAGACAAGGAAGGTCAATAGCTGCGAATCAGGCTCCAGGAAGGATCACATTTGCAAATCAGTTAATAGATTTGCTGCTCCCGATCTCCAACACTCAGTTCTGATGTTTTCCATATTAGAACCACTGATTCTTATATTATTAGAATCCCAAGGACAGAGGAGCCTGACGGGCTACAGTCCACTGGGTCGCAAAGAGTCGGACACGACTGAGCGCCCAAAACTTTAGGGTCGCCCTCGTGTGGTTACTTTGGGGAATGACTGTCTTTGCTGACTGGTCTGAAGAGCCGTGACTAGAAAAACCAGCTGGTTGTTTAGCCGCTAAGACGTGTCCAGCTCTTTGCGACCCCATGGACTATCGCTCGCCAGGCTCCTCAATCCATGGAATTCTCTAGGCAAGAATACTTGAGTGGATTGTCATTTTCTCCTCCAGAGGATCTTCCCCGAACCAGGGATACAACCCGCATCTCCTGCATTGGCAGGCATTGCCAGGCAGATTCTTTACCACTGAGGCACCAGGGAAGCTGATGAGCAATCAGCTGATGGTGTAATACTATCATGAAAATACCATTGCTTTCTCCCCTGCACTTTATTGAGAATTTATTGAGGCATAATTGACGAAATTTTTATTTAAAAATCTGAAAGACGGGCAAGCTTCTACACAGCATGACTCTCTGACTATATGGTCTCTGCATAAATGCTTCAGTTCTTCCCCTACCCACCTAACTCATACATGGCTCTTAAAGAAACAAGAGGAACGGTTGATCATTACTGTTCATCTTGAGTGACACCTACTATGACCTACTGTGACCTCCTACTATTAACTTCCTGTATCTGGAAGACATAGCAGAGGAGGTTCCTTTAAAAATTTCCTGTCTTAATAGATATTAATGTCTTCACTGCTGTATTCTTACCCGGGGGAGGTTGGTGCTTATTGCCATCAAGTGTTCTTCACGTCTGGATAAGTGGTCATCAGTGCTTCTATCCATTGTGAGGGCTAGAATATCTTGGAAACACAGGCAGGTACTGTGAGTGAGGAGCAGGGGTTCATGGTCCTATTCCCCTGTGCAGGAAAAATACTTGGGGCAATCATGGAGCAGGTGTTTGTAAGAACTTCACAGCCATTGGGACCAAATTCCCGAAGAGCCTCATTAGAGAGAAGAACAAGGACTTAATAACTGAATCTCTCCATCTACAGGCACAGGCCCAGATCAGCCAGGTCCCAGGTTTGAGGTCCCAGGGACTTTTGTCTGGGATTTATCGCCATAGTGCTGGCTTCATTTCTAATATCTTCAAGTTTTGACCCAAGAGTGACATCTAAACCTTAGACAATACTTTTTACCATTATTGTTTGGTACAAAGGGGTCAAATAGTAGGCAAGACAGTTAATAAGTATGCAGTGCCATTGTGTCTTTAAAAAAATGTACATACCTTACTTTATTAAAAAAATTTATACATTTATTAATTTTTGGCTGTGCTTCATTGCTGTGTGGGCTTTTTTTCTAGTTGGAGCAAGTGGGGGCCACTCTCCAGTTGCGGTGTGCAGCTTCTCTGCGGCGTCGTCTCTTGTTGCAGAGCATGCGCTCTAGAGCAGAAATAGTCACTCTCTCCTCTCCTCTGTGGGCTTGTTTTTGGATCCAACACTAATAATAAAGACCTGTCATCAGAGTTATATAATTGCTGTTTCAGGACTTGGCAACACTGGAAATGATGCAATCTTGGGGATCGTCAGTAGCCGCAACCCTTCTGCAAGAGAAACTCCCACTTCTATATTTTAGCCCCCACCTAGCCTTGCTGGGAAATACACATGAAGCTGGATAAGGGTTAAACCTTGGATCACCTAGATCAGTACTGAATTCCAGACCCACATCATCAGTTGTATGACCTTGAGAAAGCTACCAATCTTCAGAGAATTACAAATTTTCACTCTCTGTAGAAAGGAGAAATAATAATCACTTTGTAGAATTGTGAGATTAAATGAGGTAATTTATGTTAATCACCCATGACCTCTAACTTCATCAATGCACTAGGCTAGGACCATGTCCACTAGGTGGAGGTTAAAGGTATTTGTGATATTTATACCCTTTGTTTTCTGCTTAATCACCTGTGTTTTGGATAAATAACATTTGGAAATAGTGTCACATATTTATCTTCATATGTCAATAGTTATTTTTACAATGGGTCAGTGGAAAAATCTTTCATTCTATATTTTAATTTGGGAGTAAATGAGGTAGAAATAGGAAACATTGTTGAGTTCATTTATAAATTGGTAGAACATGAATGTTAATGTGGAACAGAGAATTCCTGAGTCCAATATATAGTGCTCTATTTGTTCTGAGGGCAAGATCTGGCTTTAAGATGCCCAACAAAGCCTTTAATCTTATGCACTGCAATTTATTTTCCTGAGTTGATAGTATTAAAGAATTACTCATAAAAACCATACACCTGGGTCATAAGTGACAGTTGACATTCCTTAAAAAAAAAAAAAAGTCCTTTAGACAACAGAGTGTTTCTGCTTCCCTGGTGGCTCAGAGGTAAAGCATCTGCCCGCAATGCAGGAGACCTGGGTTCGATCCTTGGGTCGGGAAGATCCCCTGGAGAAGGAAATGGCAAACCACTCTGATACTCTTGCCTGGAAAATCCCATGGACAGAGAAGCCTGGTAGGCTACAGTCCATGGGGTCGCACAGAGTCAGACGTGATTGAGCAACTTCACTTTCACTTTCTAATTAGTCATCCACTACTTGGGTTATTGATCATCAATATATTTCCCATACTAACTATGGCGTGTTAATAAACATCTTTAACCTGCTCCCAGTAAGTCAAAGGGTTTCCCAGGTGGTGCTAGTGGTAAAGGACGCAACTGCCAATGCAGGAGACAAACGTGGGTTCAATTCACGGGTTGGGAGGATGCCCTGGAGGAGGGCATGGCAACCCACTCCAGTATTCTTGTTTGGGGAGTCCCATGGACAGAGGAGGCTGGCAGGCTACTAACCATGTGGTTGCAAAGAGTTGGACATGGTTGAAGTGACCCAGAACGCATGCAGTAACTCAAAATAAGAATCTCAGGACTGTAATAAGCCTTCATGTCTCCATCAGATACATGCTATGACATCAAGTTCTCTGCATTCCATCTCCAAAAATAGATGAATGTCCCCACATACAAAATTAATTATCAAAGATCTGGGGAGGAGGAGGAGAATGGTGACTGGATTATTAGCTTAAGGAGAAATAGACTCTATTGGTTGATGTAACTGCAAAGTCCAAAGTTATTCTTGCAAAGCCTGTGTGTTTCGGACAGGGCTAGATTCAGGGGCCCAAACAATGACATCAGGGCCTGTATTTCTCTATCCCCTACTCTGTTTGCTTCTGTTTGTCTTTGCTCTGCAGACTCTCTCCATGTGGCAAGAAGGCAGCCACCGGTACCTCCCTCACATCTTCCCAGACTGACCATCGAAGGGCACTTCTCTCAGTTTATTGGCACTGTTGTAAGGCAAGACTATGATCAATCCTTCCTGAATCATATGCCCAGATCAGAATTAACCATGCCTGATGGGAAAGTCAGGTATTCTGGTCAACGTGGGTCATAAACCCAGCCCATTCCATATGGGAATTCAGTGATGAAAATTTACTACCAGGACTAAATGGAGGAGAGGAGGAGTTTCCCAAATAAATGCAAAAGAAAAAAGAAAGGAAAGAAAAATGGGAAGGAATGCTATGGAATATATATATATATATATATATATTCCATATATATGTACACAGAACACAAACATGTTTTATATATATATATAAGCAAAATAAAATATATAAATATCAGTTACTATAATCCACTAGAGTCACTCCATCAACTGACCTGAGTTAAAAAAAGGATTGGAGAAGGAATACTCAAGACACAAGAGTAAATTAGTAAGCTATTTTAAAAGTTGGAGTGAACTAAAAAAAACCAAAAACCATAATTAATGACAATCCAGTAGCATTCAGCATACCTAGCACCCAGATCTTGGTTTCTAAATACCACTCTCTACTAAAAGGAAACAGGATTTCTTACAGAAAGGGCTGCTTCCAGATGTGGGCAGAAAAAAAGTAAGGTGAGTGAGTCTAGGACATTATGTGTGTGCCAAAAAATAAGGAAACGCTCAAAAATCCAATGTGGACATATATGAACTGCAAATGACTTTCAAATGGATCACCATATCCATATGTGATGCTTAACGTACTATTTTATTTTATTTTGCCCTGCCATGAGGCTTGTGGGGTTTTAATTCCCTGACCAGAGATTCAACCCATGCCCTGGGCAGTGAGAGCAAGCACAGCCAAACAAAACAAAACAAAAACCTATAAGTGATTATAAACTACTTCTTTTATTTATTTATGTATCTCTGGCTGTGCTGGGTCTTTACTGCTGTGCAGGCTTTTGTTTCTGTGCAACTCTCCAGAGTTCCCTGTGCAAGGGCCTCTTATTGTGATGGGTCTAGAGTTCAGGCTCAGTAGCAGTGGTTCCCAGGCTTAATTGCTCTTCTGCGTTTTCTCTCCTCCCAGCCCAGTGATCAAACCCTTGTCTCCTGCGTTGGTAGGCGGATTCTTTGCCACAGAGTCCTACCAAGTGTTGGGACCAGCGCAACAACGAACCAACCAACCTGAGGGAGCGTTGCCCCAGAAGAATATGGAAAAATAAGACTCAGAAATAAGGTGGGGATCAGGGGGTTGAGCCGCTCGCAGACAAAAGCCCAGATCCTAATCCTTGCATGCCTTTTATTGCTAACATCTACTTCCTTGCACATGCTCTAGAGATATCTGTTTTTTTACAGTCTCAGATTAGGGATAAAGAATTACAATGCACAGTCCTCAAAGTCAAACCTTCAGGCTTTTCATGACTCCGTTTAGCCCTTCAGCTAGTGACAACCTTTCTCAGCAACTCCCTCAAGACTCTGGTTACAAGAACAGTCACTAATGGCTTTCCATCAGTCACATCAGTACTTCAATATCTTGGTTTCAAGATGTTTTTCCATGATGTACTTTTTATTGCTCCCAGCCCTTTGCCTGGGGGTGATGAGAAAGTCATTCTTATTTTTCAAAGAAGCCCCGTTAATTATAGTACAGGTCTGTGCATAGCATATTCCCTACACCAAGGAAGCCCTATAAGTGATTATAAAATATTAAATATTTTAAAGTATGTGAATCAACATTAACGCTATTTTTAAAAGAGAAAAATTTAAGGTAATTTGCCATAAATAAGGTTAAGTGTTAGTCACTCAGGCCTGTCCGACTCTGTGCGACCCCTTGGACTGTAGCCCCCCAGACTCCTCTGTCCATGGGATTTTTCAGGCAAGAACACCTGAGTGGGTTGCCATGCCCCACTTCAGGGGATCTTCCCGACCCAGGGATCGAACCGGATCTCCTGAATAACAGAAGGTGAAAATGAACAATTAAAGGAATGAACTTAGCATTTACTCTTTTTCTTCTTCCTTCTCCTTCTCCCCCTCCCCTCTCTCTTTCTCTTCTTTGGGAGAGTCGGCGATAACGTCATTGCTTCGGGGAAGGGGGTCGGCCAGGGGCTCTGGGTGGGGCAGGTCCGCCTCTCTTTCACCATCACAGGCTGCGCAGAACGACCGCGCGGTGCGCGGGGCGGATGGCGGCCGCGCGCAACTCCGGCGGTACTTGTTCTTTCGGATCAAGTGCGGGCGGCTGCGGCGGATGGCCCCGGCGGTCGTGGGGCTGGTTGTCCGCACGTAGAAGGGGCGGCTTTCGCGGACCGGATCTCTGCTTCATGACACCATGGCCCGTTTGCAGTCAGCGGCGGCTCCGCGCTCGCAATCTTGGGTTGAACGAGCCCGTCTTAACAGAAGGCGTTGGGGGCCCTCGGCCTATTGGGTTCGGTGCTGAGTCTGCTTGTTCCTCCTGACCTAGAAGCTGGAGCGGTTCCACCCGTCCAACTCTTGCTTATGAGCCTACAGGGCGGCAGCTCCTCTCCTTGCGACGGAGGGACACGGGAAAAAGCGAAAAGTTCATTATACAGACTATGCCAGTTAAGAAATACAGAAANTGAGTTGGCTCCTCGCTTCAGGTGGCCAAAGTACTGGAGCTTCAGCTTCAGCATCTGTCCTTCCAATGAATATTCAAGGTTGATTTTCTTTAGGATTGACTGCTTTGGTCTTCTTGTAGTAAAAGGGACTCTCGAGTCTTCTCCAATACCACAGTTCAAAACATCAATTCTTTGGCACTCAGCCTTCTTTATGGTCCAACTGTCACATCCAAACATGACTCCTGGAAGAACCATAGTTTTAACTAGACAGACCTTTGTCAGCAAAGTCCCCTGTACACAGCCTATCTCCTGACCTTACCAGGCTGCCTTCTGAGTTGGCTGTCTTAGGATGAAATGACCCTGCCATCTGGCCCTTGTCCAGTTAGCCCTCCTGTAAGATTCCACATGTGAACTGTTCGTACCAATATATTTGCCCTCAATTCTCTAGACAAATGACTCCAACCAGAAACAACTTTGCCTCTCAGAGGCCTTAGGACAGTGTATGGAGACATCTTTGGTTGTCACAACGAGGCTACTGACATCTAGAGACCAAGGATGCTGCTAAACATTCTGCCATGAACAGGCAACCCTCCTTCCCCCCCCTCCCCCCCATAGAACCATCTGATTCAAAATTTCAAAAGTACTGAGGTTGAGATCATAATACATCTCACTGATAATTTGTATATTATTATGTGGGAAATTATAATAACTTGGTTATGACTCAGCAGGTAAAGAATCTGCCTGCAGTGCAGGAGACAAGCAGACCTGGGTTCAGTCCCTTGGTGGGCAAGATCCCCTGGAGGAGGAAGATGGCAGCCCACTCCAGTTATTCTTGCCTGGAAAATCCCATGGACAGAGGAGCCTGGTGGGCTACAGTCCAAGGGGTCGCAAATAGTTGGACATGACTGGGCGACTAAGCACAGATAAGATAAAATATATTATTAAAATTGACTTCATGTAAATCCATGGCTAATTCATTTCAATGTATGACAAAAACCACTGCAATGATGTAAAGTAATCAGCCTCCAACTAATAAAAATAAATGGAAAAAAAAAATAAAATTGACTTCATTTTTAAGAATTTAATGGGGCTACTAGAAAAAAATTTCTAAAATATTTATTTATTTGGCTGCACCAGGTCTAGTAGAGGCATGCGGGGGTCTTTAGTTGAGGCATGTGGGATCTAGTGCACAACCTGGCCACTTGCATTGTGAGCACAGAGTCTTAGCCCCTGAACCATGAGGGAAGCCCCTACTAGAAAATTGTTCATTACAAATGTGACATTTGCTGCTTCCAGGATTCCCTCAGGAGGCATTATATCTGGCTGTACTTTTTTATTGTTTTCTTTTTTGTAATTGTTTTCTTGGTTGCCCTTTTTAAAAATTGATATATTACTATAGATGCCATCTTTCTAAGTCTTGCTAAATTTAAAAACTTTTATTCAAAGACTACTTCTGGCATGTATTTAAGAGAATCCTGGCTTTCGCGCCTTCCCCGACAAAAAGAAAAAAGATTGTACGCCCAACGTGGGGCTCGAACCCACGACCCTGAGATTAAGAGTCTCATGCTCTACCGACTGAGCTAGCCGGGCCCTCAGTAACTTTAGCTCCCTTTAGAAGAAAGTGTGCACCTACTGCCTGACAAAGCCCTGAAGATGAAGTGGGAGCATCTCCGGCAGCGGCGGCAGGAGGATAGAGTTCCATCGGAGCCAGGACTCCTTGGGCCGGGAGCCAGCGAAACCCGCTTAGCTGGGGCTGTGCTGCCTGGCCGGGAGCATGCATCTTCCCATAAGCTCTGGACCCCAAACGTGTCCCAACATACCAGCGGTCACTCGCCTAATAGAGTCATCCATTCACTCAAGTGTTGATTGAACGCTTAATGTATGCCAAGCACCGAGGATACCGCAGTTGACAAATTAGATTTTTAAGAAAGAGGAAGAAAGGGGGCCAGACTCCAGATCAAAGGAAATTGCTGCTGTTCATTTTTGTTTCCTTCCTCACCAGGCTTCACGCCTGCAGTTTTTAACACAATAGGCAAGCAGGAAGTGCGGTAGAGTCTTTTAAGGGGTGATTCTCTCTTCCCTGTTCGGAAACTTGCCCTGCCCTCTTCAGTTATTAAAAGAAGAAAGAAAGAGAAAAGAAAAGAAAATTTCTGAGGACACGGGGCGCTTTCTCCTGACCTGTGATTATAAAAAGTCACAAAAGTAGCTATACTGAAATAACAGAAGTCCAGGCAAAAAAATCACCCACAATCCTAACCCAGATCAAGTCAAGGTTATCATTGCTCCCCACCCCACTACTTCCAATTCTCCCCTAAGTGCCCTTTCAGTTCTTACACCCACATTTCAAAGGGGCAAGTTCTGCTCTCCACATTTTCTGTTTACTTATCGATCTGTGTATTTCTGCATTTTGCTAGTCTCTTTTTTCCTCCCCTTCCTTCCTGGGTCCTTCCACACCTGATTCTTTTCTGTACAGTCGTGCAGGGACAGCTGCGGCTTGGGAGTTACTGTTTGTTATGTAAGAAATGCACCGAGCACGCCTTTCAGAGCAAGAACTTCCAAGTCGACTGGGATAGACGACTGAACATTCTTTTCTGAGGTTGAACAGTATTAATGAAGGAAAATGCATTCCATCTGTCTCCCACAGATGGCCATTCCCGCCCCCCTTTTATTTATTATTTACCAAACTCTGCTGCAATAAACATTTTTGTACTTACATCAGTAGTTTTATCTCTGAGAGTCAAAGAATTGGAATTAGAGGATCAAAAGAATAGACTGCTTTGCAAAATTTGAATGAAACCACACATACTCCCACATTAAGATGTATGTGTAACCACACATTTTTTTCCCAGTTAGATGTACAGGAACACCGTCTTTATCCTTCCTTGTTAAAGATTGTGGGGAATCTGTATCTTATGATCTATTTATCTAATGATCCAAAATACACCTCTCCATTTAAGGAAAGATAGGCTGCCCACCATACTACCCCAGGTGGGACTCGAACCCACAATCCCTGGCTTAGGAGGCCAGTGCCTTATCCATTAGGCCACTGGGGCTGCTGCCAAGACCGTTCCCAATAACTTGAGAAGAAGGAATGACTCGTCTCCAGTAGTTAGAAAGTGATCCAGGAATTGGTTTGGGTGCTTATTAGAAACCTGGTTGAGTCCCTACAAAGTCCCAGTCTCTGTTCAAGTCGCCAAGGAACAGAATCGTGAGCGAAACAGACAACCGCGGCTGGCGCGGCAGAGTTCCTGTGCGCGCCGCGCCCTCGCCGCCCGCCGCGCCCTCCTCTCCCTGGATTCCCGCGGCTCCTCCCGCGCGCTCCGCGGAGTCCGGTTCGTCGGCTTCCTCCAGCGGGAGTTCCAGGCTCCGGAACGCCCTGGGTTGTCCTGCGGATGACAGATGCAGCGAGCAGTGAGGGTTCCTGACTGCATCAGTCCGCGGCGCGTTGGGCAGGACCACCCTGCGGCGTCTGTGATAAACGTTCGGTCCTCCGGAGACGCAGCTGGACAGAAGCCCGGGGGAGCGCGGGGCGGGAAGAAGGCGTGCGGGGCCAACACCGCGAGTCGCGGAGGCGACTCCTCCGCGCCCGCCGAGGCTCAGCCGCAGGCGACAGTCAGAACCTCCCCCACAGCCCCCTGCGTTGGGCATCGTCACCCAGGGCTTGGCAAAGTCCGGGAGACCTCTCGCCCGCAGAATACTCCCCGCCCGACCTCGCTTTTCCAGGCCAAACCACACCCTTGGAGCTGCCCAAAGCCGAAGTCCGCGGGGTCGGGACACACCCCCTGCAATTTCCCTTGCCACCCTCCTTTCTTTCTTCACTGAAGTTCCTAATTAATCCGAAGGGTAAAAAGTCAGCAGAATCCAGAGCCGCTCAAGATCCCACCGCCACCGCATCCCCTCAGGAGAGCTCCCGGGACTTTAGATTCTCCTCTCGTCACCCCCATCCCGATTTCATCCTTTGTCACTCGAGCAACAGGATTATCTAATGCGCAGTCCAGATTCCAGTCTCCTTCAATCTCCTCCAATAAGTCCTTTATGGCTAAAAACAAAAACAAAATCCAGGACAGGATCAGCGGACAAACTTTGATTCAGTTGCCGCGGCTTCAAATCTCCTTTGTCCTGTTGGTCTCGGCAGTCTGGCCACCCGCCCGGATGAAGCGGCGGGCTAGGGGTGGGGGGCGCTGGAGCCACCAGCCCGGAGACTGGGGAGAAACCAGCGTGGTAACAACACGGCTGACACAGAGGAACTAGGACGCTGTAGACGTGGGCCCGTTGTGCCTCGGTGTCCTTCGTCCCACGGATGCGCGCGGTCTCCGCACAGGCTCGCCTTTTAAAGCGATTGTATTTTATTCAGTAAAAGGGGCCGGGAGGAGGAGACGCCAGGGAACACGCATTGCAGAAGCAGCTGGCGGCGTTGGGGCGGGACGGGTGTATTCCTGTTCATACTCATCTTTGGGGGTCACAGATTCCAGGGGGAACCCAGGAGCAGATCCTGGGCTGTGCCTTGGTCTCGCGGAACCCAAGGCGGTCACGTTTGCGGAGATGGGCAGGTGTCCGTGGTTCCAAGGCAACTTCCGGCCTCCATCATCCCTCTGGTTTGCCACATCGGTTTAAATTGGGCCCGGAATTTCTTGACTTTTCCAAAAGCAACCTCTTCACTGCTTTGAGGTTTGTTTCTTTTTCATATCCAACATTTTCCGGTGTTTTTAGAAAGGGGGTTGGTCTCCAAAACCCATTTGTGTTACTAGAAACCTCGACTCTGCCAGAGTGTTTTTCTTTATAACTTCTTTAAAACTGTTTATCATTTTTAAACCAATAAGTTAAAGTGTTTTTGTTTGTTTGTTTTTCACGAATTTGGAGAGAGATGGTTCCCCCACTCCCTCCAGGAAATCAAATCCAACAGTCAAATCAGCCTTGGAGTTCTGCAACGGACTCTGGAAAAAGAGGAGATTTGGCCTGAGGGGGGCCCTGGTCTCCATCTGTGGTGACCCTGACCTGCAGGGTGACTGACCCTGGCATGTGGTTGCCCCTGGAAGTGGAGAATCTTTGTGTTTTACTGAAAGCAGCTCTCTGGATTTGAAACTCCTTAAGGGTCAAACTCAAACTCCACCTGGACCCCCAACCACCAAAAATGGGGCCCAACACAGCCTGAGGTTCAGAGAGGGGGACAGGACTCCTATCCCGACAGCTATGGACCCCAGGTCTCCGTGCCCAACCCAGGCTCCCGGAACCGTTCCCTGACCTGGGGCTGCGGAACCAGGGCAGACCTGGGAGTGCCCAGGTGAGGGGTGACAGGAGATGGAGAGAAGGAGGAAGAGAACCGAATCAAGAAAGAGGAGGAGGGCCTTGGGTGCCGGTGTCAGGCCCGATACGTTACCGGACACTTAGCAGGGATGTTTGAGTCTCAATGGGGTAATTAATTGCTGGACTTGAAGCCTGAAAGGTAGGTCATCTGGGGAGACTGTTCCAGATTTTCTCCCCTGCCGGCCTTAACCTGACCAAAGCCCCCCAGGCGTTGCCCTGCACTATGATGTCCACACCCCTGAATCCCCAAGACTCCTACTAAAAGTTTCAAAGTATCTGGAAACAGCTTGAAGCTTTTAAATGTTTTCTCTAATTCTCTCTAAGTGTGGAGCTTTGAAGTACAAGATCTGGGGACTTGGGGGGAGTTCTCAAATCTCTAAAGAGTTGTTTTCATGTAAATGGGGAAATAAATGGGCTCGTCCGGGATTTGAACCCGGGACCTCTCGCACCCTAAGCGAGAATCATACCCCTAGACCAACAAGCCACACAAATTATGCCCTCTGGGTCTCTTCTGTGACTCCGTGGCATCCCGGATATGGAATTCGGGAGACCAGTGAGGTGGCACGGGGAGGAGACTCCAATTTCAGAGCCTCAGGAAAGTGTTGAGCTCATAGATTAGTGGGCAAGGGGAGGACCCCAGAGCTCCCGGTGCTGGCAAGTTGGGAAGCAGCCCCTGCAGCTGACCACACCCCCCCCCAACCAAGTGTGATGGTCCCTGTGCTCAGATTACAATGAGCCCAATGCCAGGAAAGGCGGGCTCTCCTAGCATCCTGGCTTGGCCTTTAGGTCACTTTGCTGACACTTCGTGCAGCCAGGAACATGCTTGAGGAGGAGCTGGGGTAAAAGCCAGCAAGGAGCTGTGGGTCCGGCTGGGCAGTTGCGTGCCCTTTGACGGCAGGTCACAGAATCGCCTTGCTTGGAAAAAGCGCTCCCACAGGTGTAGTGTCCTGGTATCCATCTGATGCTCACTGCAGCTCACCTGCTGAGTTTCTCCAGACTCCAAAAGATCCAAACCAAGAAAACAGCGCCCAACGTGGGGCTCGAACCCACGACCCTGAGATTAAGAGTCTCATGCTCTACCGACTGAGCTAGCCGGGCAACCATGAGGAAACCCTATCCTTGCATATATTGATGGTAGTGACTTAGATGTGGACACCGGGGTGGGGGGGTGGGGTCAGTAGCCAAAGATTCCTGGTCCTAACAGGGAGTCCCCGCTGCAAGCTCCACTCTCCACCTACGGCCCCTTCTACGACAACAGTTCCTCTAGTCCAGGACTTCCCTCACCACCCCCTAGCTGGGGAGCCCAGTCTGGCCGCTGTGCCCACCCAGCCCACCTGACCTTGGGCTTAGGGAGGAGCGGCTGGGCGAAGTCGCACGGAGAGAGCAGCACAAACCTAGGGCAAAATGCACAACTGACCCCTGGGGGGACATCTGGGTTATTTCCAGTTTCTTGGCTGTTTCAAATAAAACAACTTATAGACTTGTGTACAGATTTCTGTGTGAACAGAAGCCTTAATTTTTCTGAGATAAATACCCAAATTGCTGGGTCATATGGTGGTTATAAATTTAGTTTTTAAAGAAAATGCCGCAGTGTTTTCCAGCATAAGTGTACGATTTTACATTCCCACCAGCAATGTATGGGGTGACTCACTGTCTCCGACAAAATTTTCAACAGAAATAGAGAGTGTCAGCATCCTTGTTGCATTTCTAACCTCAAATAGAATATTTTCAAGGTTTCACCACAAACTTGAAATTTGCTGCAGTATTTTGTAGATAATTTGGGCAAGTTATGGGTACTAACAGCTTTCACAAAGTTATTTATAATATACTTTTATTATCTTCTTAATTTATGCAATAACTGTAAAGTCACTCTCTGACAAGGGTTATGTGTGTCTTCTGTCATTATTTCTTAAACAGTTTTTGCAGAGTTCATCAATAGCACTAACTTTTTGTCATTAATCTCTACTGTATGCTTATTTTCCACAACATTCTTTTCTTTTTTTAGTTCTACCAGTTTATTGCTACCAACCATCTCCCTCCATCCTCATGCACGTGTGCTCAGTCATGTAACTCCATGGGCTGCAGCCCGCCAGGCTCCTCTGTCCATGGACTTTTCCAGGCAAGAGTACTAGAGTGGGTTGCCATTTCCTTCTCCATCAACATCATTATTTTCAGCTCTTCATCATTTCTCCCCTTGTTCTAATTTATCTGGGCTTATTTTTTGCTGTACTTTTTCTAACTTCTTGTCATTAGCTTTCAGCTTGTCTTTTTTTTTTTTTTTGCTTGTCTTCTTTATTATACACATCTAAGGCTATCAATTTTCCTCTAACTACTGCTTTAGCTGTGTCTTAAAGGTTTTAGTATGTAGTATTTTTCATCATCATTTATTTCAAAGTATTTTAAATCCCACTGTAATTTCTTCCTTAACTCGTATAACTTCTAGAAGTGTATTGTTTAATTTGTAATCATATTATGATATTTTAGGTTTTTTTGTTTATTTTATATTATTTGTTTTGACGTATTTAAGTTTACCATTTTTTTCATCTTGCTAAACCATTGCATACATCTATTGAGATTTGTTTCCCTTTTTGCGTATTTTTAGACAAATATAGTCCTGTTTCATTATTCTAGAGCATTTTACATAGCTTCTGTTCTCAAATATATTTTCATTTTTGTCATTCATGTCTTTGTACATCATGAATGGGGTCAGGATAGTTGTAAGGATAGTAAGGATAGTTGTGTTATAATCTGTATCTGATAATCTTAGTATCTTTCCAACTTAATTTTCATATCTGTTGTTCACTGGTTGTTGCTCATGATGCCCAGTTTCCTTGTTATTTTTCATCGTGGCATCCCATGGCACTCTTTCCAGCACATGCTGAAGACATCCTGGCAAGCACCTGAGACCCCACAGGGGGGTGAGGGTCCTTATGTCCACCTCTTGCACCTCAAAGGCGGCCTCCGCAGAACCGTGCAGAGGCGATTTGGCTTCTGTCAGGCACTGGGCCCCAGGACCTTGGGTACCCAGCAGTGCCCGAGATCCTGGGACTCCTGCTGACTTCCGGAGGGGAAGGAGGGAAGACGCATGAGTTCATGCCAGGTAGAGTGACTGGATTTGGAATGATGCGAATGCCTGCAGCCAATTGCCTCTCCCCAAGTGGATGCCCTGCCCTCCTGACCAGGGACTGTGGGGCCCAGGCTTGACAGTTCAGAGGCCTCCAACCGAGTAAGAACTGGCTCCTGATGTACAGAGGAAGGAAACACCTCTCCGGTCTTCCCTGCCCGGAGCTTGGGCTAACAAAGTAGCTTGTTGCCAAACTCGTGGAGACACTTTGGCTACTGGG